CAAACACATAACTTGTTAATTAGTGGAATGCATAACAAAGGGTATAGTCTCTCAGAGAGTTTGATATTTTATTTGTTTCATTTGATTTGACATGCAGTTTTCAAATCCTGCCTGAGACACCTGCAGGGAATAAAACAAGTATAATGCAGCTGTAAAGCATATAGCACCAGTACTGAATGTGACTGGGATATTTTCAAACACCACATTTCTATAATTTACTTTACACACTGACACAGATCATAATCTTGCACAGCAGGGCCACCTGCTCAGTGTCATTACTGCACTTTAATATAGCTCTGCCACTTGTCCATAATACTACATCCAGGCAAGTTTGTTGTGCTGCCATGACCACTTAAAACATCCCTGCCTCGTGTGCAGCTCCTCCTCCTCCTCACTCTCCTCTGCCTATGAGCCAATGCAAATTACAGTAACAGCTTGGACGCGAGTACAATCTCAAGTGGTGCAAACTGGCCTCCATGGTAAGGCATGCAGGCAGATGGAAGCATAGAGTTTGCCAGGCCTCTTCAGGGGCTCCAACTCTTTCTACAGCATGCGAGACAATGGAAGAGCTGTGGCTCATAACCAGCTACGCGTCTGCCACAATCATGGAGCCTACTCCCATACGCCGGGGCTCCTGTCATGGCCTTGTTTAGACCAGTGCACAGATTGACACAGATACTGGCAACATTACATCATGAGCCACTTACAGAGCAGAGGGCTGAGACTGAGGAAGGATGTTCAGACATTGAGTCTAAATGAAAGAGAAGCAAGAGGAGCGCAGTCGGTGTGTTTCTACTGTATATATTTGTCTGCACAGCAGGTGGTAAAGGCTTCCCCTCGAGCTATGGTAGATATTTATAAATAGCACTTTAAATAAACAGCCTATTCTATTTGCATAAACAACCGCATATGAACACATTTGACATGAATTTTACCACGTTAAGAGAAAAGCTTTGATTTTCTTAAATAAGACACCATATATTATTCATTACTGCGACTCCAGTGAGTACACCACTACTTCAGAAACTGCACTAATGTCACACATTATTCATATAATATTCATACAATATACACTACAATGCATGATTAACTTGAGCCTCGTTTAAATATGTTATAGCTTTGTGTTGCCTCAGGAAGAACAATTTAATTTCAGTATTCAAATAGTTTCTTCTAATGCTTAAGTGTGTCCCTGTCTGTGTTACTGAACCTCAGTCAGAAGAGTTTGTCCTGCTCTATAATTTGTGATTCTGTATCCTACAGATTTCGATGAAGACTTCATAAAAGAAGCTGCAAGTAGGGAAAGTATTTCTGTGGTTAGGGATAGACTGACCACATAGTCACAATCTAAGTGATTACTTTCTTGCCTGAAAAAAATACCAAAACCCAGCAAAGGTCCAGGGATTTGTCTCTGCATGTGTGTAAGAATAACAGAATACTCAGCTGGTGGAAGGGCATGGTGCTGTAAAACAAAACGCTGTTCTCACGAGAGCTGTCAGGGATGTTCACCCAAAGCTGCACAGTGCAGTAACAGGCATCAGGTGTCAGTTTACCATCAAAAGGATTTTAATATAAAAAAGTGACATATTGTTATTTTAAGAGCCTGTCTCTTTGGATTGAAGCAACACAGTACAAGTTACATCAAAATGTCATGCACCTTTTATTTTGAATGATTGAATGAGCTCCAGGCTTTACATTTGCACAGCAACAAAGATCAGAGAGTCTCTGTCTTGCTGCTCTGGGACAGAGGCTCGTTCATGCTCATAAATACTGATTGTGCTATTCTTGGACATTAATGTAGATGGATTCTTAAACTCAGCTCTGCTCATTTAAACTAATGAGTATGCTTATGCAATGGGGTTGCACCTCAATATGGCATTTAATATGCTTCTGAATCTTTAATCATGTAATGTAGCAAACCAAAGCGCTTCAGGGAGAGACAATCATATGTGCCTCTGACGAGTCCCCTCCCGTATTTCAGACATAACAACAAACAGTACAAAAGAATGCGATGTATGAAGAAATCAATAGACTGTGAGTCAGCTGTGTGTCAAGATGAGGCTGTTTAAGTGACTCAGTCTTCAATGTGTTTGCCAACCCTGAGTGCTTCTGCAGTAACATAAAGATATTTGAGTGAGAGAGAGTGAAAGCAGCAAGATGCTGAGTGCAGCTCCCCTGGAGCTACGCAGCTATTGTCTCCGACTTGAGCTAACACGCATGCAGGTGTGCTGGATTTTACCTAATTTTCCTCCGCTGTTATTTCAAATATCTTGAGTTACACCATTTCATATTCACAAAGCCTGTTACTATGAGATGTGGGTGATATGGAGTGTATATAGCTTAAGTTCTGCGGATGATTAGAGCTGCAGTAACAGCAATCAGGTGCAGAGATGATATCTTAACATGGCAATATGTGAATGTAAACCTGAGCTGCAACTCAACACTGCCTGTCTGTTTTCAATACTTGGTATTCCAGGAAACACTGACTGCACAACTCAGATGACTTTGACAGGGGAAGCAGACGACAATACGGGAGCCATGGAAGGGGAGCCATATATGCACAGTGCTGCCACTGGAATTTTGAATATGTGAGAGTAATAAGTTGACCTTCTCCTCACTCTTCCTTCAAGCCCGATTAAAAACATATTCATTACCTACTTACAGAGCACAGTTTTCCCAAGTTGTAGTACCATGATTTAATGCGAACAGAGATGAGCTGATGGGGAACCCTGTTGTTACACCTCTTATTGCTCTCAAACATGACAACCAGGATTAAACTCCACTTGAAAGATGTTGAAATAATACATACGAGCCAAAACTGCTGTACATCCCCAGCATAAATAGCTTTTATTTGACAAGAAAGGGTGAATTCAATGTGTTTGAAAAGGATTAGTTTAACTGCTGCAATTATTTTGTTTTTTATGACAGAAACAGAACAGGATGTCTCACAGTGCACAAAATATGCAGAGTTATGCTGGGTGCATGTCTGTTGTAGATGCTGCTTGTTAGGCATGAGAGGAGGGAGGGGGAATAGTGAGGGAAACAGCAGCTATGATCAATTCAGTAGCACAAGCTGGCTAATTGGCACTGCCCTGTCATTCCCTTTGAACCAGGAGGAGGCAAGTGAGAGCCGTTCTATTTCTTTGGTCTCAGCACTGTGTGTTTGCCCCCTGACCACAGAATCCACAGGGGTTCTGACCACAGTGGGTCAGAGGTTGGAAAGTAGCCTCACCTCCCATGCCCCTCCTTACTGAACTCCCCCAAAGGAATCACTCAGACCTTTTCCTAAAACTACACTTTCAGCAAAGCACAGTAACTGGCAGCATGCTGAATCAGATATAGTACCTAGATGTAAAGCGATGACATTTACAGGATGCAAACCCACTCCAAGTACACCAGACAGATGTTAAGGGGATACAGGTACCTACAGTATTGCACTTCAGATACACACAATTATTCTTGGCTGACTGCTGAAGACGCACCACAGATCATTAATTCTATCCTCTCATGTTCCAGGTTTTAATTAATAGTTTCATAATATAAGGTGCAACTGAAACACAAAACTGCATTTCTGTACTGCTGCAATGTTTAGAAGACTGCTTTATAGCCTGTGTCAGGTGAGTTTAGCTGGTGAGAATTACACAGTGGCTCCAGGTAGAACCTTTTTGTACCACACGTGGGTCACATCTTTTGAAATATTTGGCAAAGTTAGTAAAGTAGTTCAGGGAGTATTCACAGAAGAGCATTTTTTTAGCCTCCGACATTATCTGACTATCTGGTGTGATGGTAAATATAGGCTCAAAGCAATATGTTTAATGAACAGCAGCAGCAAGTGGTGCTGCGAGTGTTGTGTGCTGTTATTTTGCCCTCTGAGTTGTTGTCTTTCTGACACATTCCCCTCCATATTGGTGGACAATGTTGGGTTTTTACAGCCTGACGGAAACACAGAAGGCACTACTTAAACCTGAAAAAGTGTAACTTTTTCTTTTTCAAGTTTTGATTTGAATCTTTTTATTAATCTACAGCAATGTTCTCCTAGAGCTGAACATTAATCTATCACAATGTATCACGTATCATAAAGTTACTATTAAGAAAACCACATGTGATTTTATGCAGGATTAGTGAATTAACAGTCCAGAGATTTTAAATGTGTTTCTCTCTTCTTGTTTGTTATACTGCCATTATTAAGGAAAACCTGGAGGGCCATTGCATCACCGCTCCCTACTTCTGAAACCAGTACTTGGGTTTCTGATCCCACACCAACACTCTCACAAGAAGTTAAATTAGACAAGTGCTGTCAGGAGAAAACTCCAGTACAACACATTAACAACAGGAAAACATCAAGTGCACTCACTACTGTTCAGACCATATTCATAATATCCATTATTGTCCAGCTTACCATAAATCTAAGCAGACTCTATATACAGCCTATAAATCACCTTCTGTATGCATGTAGTTTCTTGCTACATTAGCCATTCTACATCTACCCAGCAGTCTTGGCACTCCAACACAGTATTTGTAACCCTGCAGACTCTGAATGGTGTTTATATATAGTATGTATATCTGTTATTTTCCAACCTATTTCTCTGTATACAGTAATAGCCCTATGTTTATGTTTGTGTATCTTTGTTTGGTTAGGCAGCTATTTAGCCTTGATTTAGATGTGCAGTATGTCAGTATGTAAATCTGTCCTCTGCACTGTGTGTAAGCACAGTGAGAGCCTCTGGAAACCTGAGTCAGATTGCTTGTAGGCCTAAACATGCTTGGCCAATAAAGCTGATTCTGATTTCTCCACACATATGGCCATTTGCAAATTTGACCCACTTCTGCTCTTCACCTGCTGTTTTGCTGTCTCTTCTGTAATAAATTCCCACCGGTGATCTACATAGTACTGCATCGTCAGTCTGCTGCCGCACCACATGATTCAGGCTGCCTCAGCTAAAGGTGGAGCTACAACTGCTCAAAGTCAATATGCACTGAATTGGAAAACACAACAAACTCACCAGATATCAAGCTCTGGTCTCCATCACAGGTTTCACATCAGCATCCCGATCAGCTGGTGGTCAGAGAGTCAGAGCTGAGGCAGGTGGCTCGCACGGGTGTCACAGGGGAAAGAACCACCTAGAGAACAGGAAACACGTTTAGCATTGTTATTAGCATCAGCACACAGAGGTGAAATAGCAAGCTAAAAAACACACCAGAGGCGTGGTCACTTTAACACATACTGTTATTTGTTTTCTAGACAACATTCAAGTGAAGGATGCAGCTCTCTTCAGTGCACTACAGAAGCAGTCATACAATCTTATCATTAACTGAGTTTGCTTCTCTTTCCACTTGGCAGCGTTGGGTGTGATATGAACACTGATCTGATTATGAAACAACAGGAAAGAGCATAAGCAGCAGGGGGGGCACCAGAAAACAGAGTTAGATATACCATGACTATGAACGTGTGTCCTGTCATTAATATTTCACTGCATCATTGCAGCTAAAGAAGGAAAACAAAGTGGGGAGCACTATGAAAAATTAATCATATTTTGACACAGCGTTGGAATCTATCTATGTAAAACAAAGAACAGGCGAAAATTCAGCTCGTGATGAGATTTTGTGACTGAAAAATAAGATGATTAATGCCTCCAAATAATTACTGCAAGCTTTAATGTAAGGTTATTGCCATTATCTGATGAGGATGGATGAGGATGAGTTTTTGTAACTCGCGTGAGTCTAGTTTTACTGCAGTTCTTTTCTTTCTTTCCTGTATTTCTCACACTAGAGAGAGGTGAGTTCCAAGGTCACAGTTTCTCACTCGTACCTAAAATTCAAAACAAGCTACATGACATGTCTGAGCTCTGCCTGCAGTTCAGCAGCATGCAGTCCATGAGAAATTACTGTATTGCATGTGTCTGCAAAGAGCCCTGATGCATTTTAAAACAGAATACTCCACTGTGGTTCTTCTTCCAACTCTACTGTACATCCATTTGTATTCAGAAAGGAGCTATAGGCTTGTCACCTTCAGCTATTCATCCAGCCAGTGAAGAATTTATGACGCAAGCTTTTTGCTCTTTGATACGTCATTCCAGTTCTCTTCAATACATCTCAGGCTGTCACGTCAGAGTTTAAGATATGAATGAGAGAAGCAAAGTAAGAGTGTAGGTGTCATAAATTTCATGGTCTCTCATTTCACAGTCTACCATGCCATGCATATTAAGGTTCTGCTCGTGTGTACGGTGATGCTGCGGCCCACTCTGACAGCCAGAGTGACAGTGAGTGCTGTGACTGCAGTGTGACACTGAGTAACCACTGGGAGGTGCAGAGAGATTTTAATTTGTTTCAAACAAGTCCTTCACCCACCCAGAGTGGTCTAACAACTGATTTTTCAGTTTTATCTTAATTTCCAGGCATCAAGTCATCACCTGGCCCTGTGTGGCACGTCACGTGTCAACCCAGGACAAGCCGGTCTCACTCAGTCTCCAACATGGCTCCCCTTCACACACTCCATTTTCCTCTCACTCACTGCCACATGATTTTACCTCTCGTTTTCTTTTTCTCTCCAGGCTCCTATGTGAAGGAAACTACAGAAAAAAAAATCCTCAATACCAGGCAACTTTGGCCAGAGGGTATACTCCATCAAGTCATTATCCATCACTGTGATTTCTTCCCGTCTGGGCAAGACAAAGACAGTTGTTAGGGAGACAGTCATCCTCCTGCCAGCTTTGTTACAACAGGGGTGACTGAGACTTCCCTTTTTACCTCACTGTGGTTACATTCTGTCTGTCAATCCCAACTAAGATGGCTTGATGAGTGTGGCATAACATCTGGTCAGGCAGGTTACAGGAAGGATTTAAATAAACATATATATTAGTCAAATGTAGCCATGAGATAACTGAATATCTGAAGCAGCATTTCTACTACATTCAGATTTGCTTGGAGATTTCAGTGGAAAACTCTGCCTACAGCAAGTATCAGGAAAAGCAGATCAGAGCTACTCTGATGCATTTAAAGATTGTAAAAGATTATCACTTTATACTTTTTGTCTAGGCTGAAAAGATTACAGATTATTTATTTAGAATACCTTTTTTTCTTTCAAAGATCTCAGTTCTACAAAAGCAGCATGAGAAATCTCTACAACAAGCCTCAGGCATCTCATTACATCAGAGCCTTCTGACCATGTAGGGTGACAGAAATAAGCCATGGTGCTGAAATCAATTATAGATCTGAGTGAATGCATTCATAACAAAGACACTCACCTTTATTTGCACGCCATTCCTCAGATATTGACAGAAGAGACAGAAATTCTTGAGCTGACCAGCAGATAAGCATGGACCCACAGCATTTAATCAGACCAGAAAAGTAAGGCTAAGTGAGGGGGTATTTGTGATTTTATTACAAACCTTAATTATATTTAGATTTCCTGATTGAGGTGAAGGTTTTGGTCACAATTTAATTTTTCTGCAAGTACCTCCTTCCACTAACTGCAGCAATCATGCTGCCTGAGATGAGGACAAGCAATAAAGCAGCCACAGCTGTAGCACGCTTATTAAAGGACATTCTCAATGTCATTATGACTCAGCAGTGGAGCGACAGGGCCACTCATTCAGGAAAGAGCAATACTGTTTGGAGGTGTAGAGTAGCCCGATAGCTGTCATAACTGTGTGGTCAACCCCATCCTCAGCAGGTCCACGAAACTGAATGCCACTAGGCCATTTCCCTTATCCTCCGCTTTTACAGTAATTTAATCCTCATGTCAGCACTTTGATGAATGACATGATTTACACTCAGGATCACGTACGCTATATGGCAAGGTATCAATCATAGTACTGTACATATTCATGGATTTTTTGCAGCTGTGTTGCCACAGTCAGCATCTAATTACATCTAACTAATAGAAGTACAAGAACGGCAATGCCCAGAGACAGTGAACATATTGAAGATATGTCACCAGATCTGTTTAAATGCATAAGATATATCATAAGATATGTTCCTTTTATTCACCTATGTACAAAATTCTCAGAGTCAACTGGGGACAAAACCACAACAATAAGGTGATTATTAAGAACTTGCAGCTGTTTTCATCTGAGCCATTTCCGCTAATTTAAAACACTATCACACGCTAATGAACGCTCCCATCCCACTGGCCCGGCCCCAGTCGGCTCTCTACCTGAACGGAGACAAAACAGTTTCAAGGAAAATTGCTTGTAGGAGCAGTTTGACTAAATAATTAGCTTTGTATTACCTTCTACAAACCTTTGGCATTAGAGGTCAAGAAAAGATTAATGTTTTGTGTGTGTTCATGTGTCTCTCCTCAGCTAATCAATACTCGTGCATCCGGTGCTGCAAGATAGCAAGGTTACTAAGAGAAGGGCAGGAAGTAAAGGAGCAGGTTGGGATCACCAAACCCCCATTCCTGTGATAGTTAAGGCTGAATGAATTGTTGTTGAACATGTTGAGGTCCTTAGCTGAAAGTGCACAAGCTTGTCAGGCAGACTTCTCTCAAAACATAGCAACATGAGTTGGTAATGCATGGTAATGCTGTGAACATGCAGTTGGATTTTGTCAGATAAGCAAATCCAGACATGGGAGTTTTCCATTTGCACCTGAACAAATTGCATTTGACTCTGATATTTTACAGTGCAGCCCAAACACAATGCAACTAGGCTGTGAGTATTGATTTTTTTTTATCACTGATTGATCTGCTAATTATATTCTCAATCAGAATATCAAGGACAGTTTAGTCAGACAGGTCTCATCTTTAAATTGTATGTTTTGTCTGACCAACAGTCTAAATCCCAAAGATATTCAATAAAAGAGAGAGTAACACTTAAAGGATAAGACTGGTCATTTCCTGTATTTAGCAGTATTTGTAACACTCCCCATACAGAGAGTAAAACAACACTCACTGTTAACGTCTGTCAGCTCTCAGTTCTGGATTAGCTTATTCGTCTGTGCCACGGGCCCCCACTGCTGTTCAAACATGATTAAAACACATCAGGGAAACACACAGTTGCACTTGGTGATGTTTCCTCACTACAAAATACTAGGCCTTATTTTTTTTAAACCAAACTGCCAAGGCCTCTGAACAGCCATAACTTTCTACAGTGTCTGAAATAAACAAGAGTCAGTTGTCCATGCATGAGATCTCAGGATATTCTTAACAAATATTAGGGGAGTGTTGAAGATAATGCCTTATCCTTTCACATTAACCCTGTGACACACATAAACACACTATAATGTAGTTTGTCCATTATGTCAATTCCTCTATTTGTTAACTCTTACAACTTCTCCCACAAAGTGTCAATAGTTATTCATGTTAGTTATAGTTAGCGCAGTATAGCACAGCTGTTTTTATATTTAATGATAACTTATGATTACACACACAGACATATCTTATTAATACCCTATTAACTGTTTATACACATGCACTAAACATCCATAGGCATCCATGGTTTGAAAATATGTTTAAAACTCAATTATACTCAACTGCACTCAATGATAATCTGACATTCTTAACTCAAGGTCCATTTGAAAGCTTTCATTTATATCTTGTAGCCTTCTCCAGTGAATTGAGTGAATTGACAGTGAACTAATATTTATATCATAGGTTCTTATAAAATATAGGATTTTATATCATTCTCAGTTATTCATTAACCAGTGTGCTTTATGTCGTTATGCTAAATATGGTATGTGAAAGTGAAACAGGGAAAAGCAGCAAATCCTTACTTCCAAGAAGCTGGAATGGTGAAATGTTTGGTATTCTTGCTTGAAAAATTACTTAAACAATTAGTCGACAATCAAATTAGTGTCTCATTTATTTTTTGTCATTTGACTAATCACTGAGTTGATTAATCTCTTCAGCTCTGAGTGCAACTTAAGGATGTGAGAAAAGAGCATTGCCATCCAAAACAAAAACTAGAGCCACATTAGATTAAAAAGCGATGCTATTTAGGCCACATGCAGTGAAGAGCTCTCATACCCATGGTGAAACGCTGTTGTTCCACACAGTCTGAAAAATGTGAGATGACTTAGGGTTCAGTTACATTACAATACTTTAGGGAAGGAATTGACATGTTTTAGATATTGGCAGCCAAAATCTTGTAAAACCTCATTATAGGTTACAGCTGACTAAA